GGGCGCTTAGGCGCAATCATGTCAACTGCCCGGGTCATCTCCCTATTCCTTAGGGTGACCTGAACTTCGACAGGAGCGCCGACCATATCAGATGGATAATTCCCCCAGAGCATTCAGGAAACCATCCAGATCCATTAGTCTCCAAGAGCAGATCATCTTAATAGATCCCCCACCCTTGCAGAGGGGAGAAGAAGCTAATAGACTAAACTTGACCAGGAAGTGGTCTGGCCATGACAATGGGGTCACAACAAGCCTCTCCACATCCAAAGCACCACCTTCCAGTCCTGTTGAGAAAACCAGGTCCAAGGTGTGGCCCTTCTCAGGCCGATGACACATTGAGACAGCCGCATGGTTGTCATGGCGGCCATGAAATCCTGAGCCGCCCCAGTCAAGGCAGCCTCGGCATGGATGTTGAGGTCCCACAGCACCAAAAATCTGGAAGTCCTCAACACCAGGTCCGAGACTACCTCCGTCAGCTTGGGCAGGGAGACTGTCGGTACACAGCAGGTGGGCAGTACACAAACAGAATCCCCAATCTGTCTCATAAGCCCAACACACAATACAGGCCCTCTAGACCTCCTCTCAAAGAGATAGGAAGTCTGGTCAAGGAGATAGAACTCCCCCTCCCCCAACCCTCAGAGAGACATTGGTGCTGGGTCGAGTACCCAGGCGGACACAGATGGGAGAGGGGGACATCACCCTCCTCTCCCAACCAGATCTCAGTAATGCATGCCAGCTCAGCACCCTCATCCAGAATTACATCATGGATGAGGGCAGTCTTATTTTGTACTGACCTGGCATTCATCAACAGCACCGTGTGGCTCCAGGGTTTGCTGATATGGTCACCTGATACCATCTGGTTGGGGGTAGGACTAGAAGAGGGGGTAGATGTAAGACATCTAAACTCTCCTCTCCTACGTGGGCATGTTCTACCCCCCCTTCCATTCCCTCCCCAACCCAGCACCACCTCAATGGCTGCCCCCTCAGGGCCCTCCTGCCTTCCTGTTCCCTCCGATCCACTGTGGTCCTCTATGTACGTAACCTGATGGCAATTGATAATCACAATAAAAACCCCTTCTAAAGCCCCCTATCCCCCCCCCAGCCAGGTGGCTGATATCGAGGAGCGGGTGGGGCAGCCAGAGGCAGCGAAGGCCCAGTCCCGCAAGGCCGAGGGAGTCCAAACCAAACTCCCCCAGGAAGGCTGGCAACCGGCAGCAGCACAGCTACAATATCTCTCACTCAGTGTCTGAGGGATGGCAGATGATGAAGACTCCCCCAAAGGCAGGAATGTTAGTCCAGCAGGGCCCTGGCACAGGCTCTGGCTTATAAAGCCCTTTCTCCCCTAGGAGCCAAGTGGCAGATGTTGACAAGGAGGTGGGGCAGCCAGAAGCAGCGAGGGCCCAGTCCTGCAAGGCCGAGGGAGTCCAAGCCAAAGGAAGGCTGGCAAACAGCAGCAGCCCAGCCACATTGTCTCTCACTCAGTGCCTGAGGGACGGCAGATGATGAAGACTCCCCCAAAGGCAGGAATGTTGGTAATGCCAGCAGCATAACCTTAAGCAGCAAATTGCCACAAGTTAAGAACTCAGAATAACAATTTTCTGTTATACACTGAACCATGCAATCAGTGAACCTACACCAACTTCCTCTCTTTTAGCAATTTGCTGCTGAAAGTTATGCTGCTGGCATTATATCAGCAGGTGTAATAAATAGGATTCTGGCTCTTGATATAGTAAACTTTAATAGAAACCACTGAGAGGGTATATAACACACTAAATTAAATATTAAATCTAGTAAACCAACAACAAAACCACTAAATCAGGTTTAAAGGCCAAATAAAACAGATGTGTTTTAACAAGCTGAGAATGGGAAGACTGGAGGTAATTTTGAAAGGAGGACATTTCACAATGCATTCCTGTTCAAAACTTCTGCTTGATCATATCTCAAAGAGGCATGTTCTGTAGATCTTAATGGCTGGACTCATAAGGCATGGGAGCCTTTTCCCCTAATGTTTTAGGATTTACTTTCAAAACAGGAAATTTTAACAAAGAAGTGGCTACTTTTTGTTACATTTTTTCTATGTGACTTGGCTGCACCATGTGCTGCAATGAAGTTAGTCTTTGTATAACAATTTGAAATGCAGTTTTTGGCACCTAATTGTGATTACTTAGAGTGTATTTGGTAAAACTTCTAATAACATTTCAAAGTTATATTGCAATATGCACACATTGGCCAGAATCCTGTTGCTGATTTACTCATGTGCAAGTTAAACTGTGTAATTATGGCTAATCTCAACTAACAAAGTATTAATTGCATTACTAGGTGCATGTTTCTTGTACAGTTGACGATATGGCATCTAATGCAATCTGCAACTTGTTAGTGGCACTTCATTGTGGTGAATTACTCAGTTTAGTTTAGGTAATTATAAAGCAGGATTCAGGCCACTACAAATAAAATACATTTTTTCTTTTTTGGTTTCACGTTCTTTGCCACTTATTCTCTGTATTACTGTCATAATAAGAAAGGTGAGCCCTTCAGTTATACTGAGTTTTAAAGCCTAACATTTTCTAATATATTGCTTTTAGTATAAAAGCTTAACATGTTCTAAGGACAACATATAAGGAACCTCTGTCCTACCCCAAAGCACCCTATTCATTTCATGAAACCCATTCCCATAGGCAACAGCTAACATTGAGAAAAAGTTTTATACACATATTTCAAGCTCTAAATATTAAACCAGAAGAGGCTAAGCTAGATCTGTGGAGAGCAAAACAGCACACCTTGCCAACTGGACAAACAACAAAGGATATCACCCACCAGGACACAATTCTGGCTGGCCCATCAGGAAGTCACTTAGAAGACTTCAAAGCAAACTAGGAAGATCAGAATATAATCAATTAAAATCAGACTACTTGCATGCATGACAAGTTTTCTGTGACTGGTAAAATTCAATCAATGCATGTAATTTGTGCCCCGCCATGTGTACAAAATAAGATCTAGTAACTGGCCAGAATAATATTACTAAAGTAGCTTACATCTGGTCAAAACTAGTCTAATCAATTTAATATTTTTAATTTTTAAATTTATCTAGATTTCATATACTATGTCCATAATTTTAAATGGTGCAGCACTCTGATACAAAGAAAGAAAGAATGTGTTCTAACAACTATTTGTAAATTTAGCTACTGTATTCTGATACTAGTTACTGAAATAGTTCATAAAACTAGGCACCTTTTAATATGAAAAATAATCTTAAGAAAAGAAATGGAATGTAGGTTGCTAATATTGCTATCTGAAATTATTTTCCTAATAATTGAGTGGCCAGCACTAAGCATGATTAATAATTTTAATAACCTGCAACTGCAGAATAATTTTTCAAAACTTGTTGCAAATGAATTAGGATATATCAGAGCTCACAGGAAATATTCTATCATTTTTGCTGCACCACTAAACTTATTCTGTGGCCAGCAATTCCTTACCTTGCTCTTCTGTCACATCCTTCAGTCTTGAGAGACTACGGTAACGTGCTCTGAAGAGAGGACATGGAACAGCGTCTAGTATGGCTGAGAAGGCCAATTCAAGAGTGACAATCCTTTCCACACTGAAGACAAATACAATCTGTCTCCTGTCCAGCTCCCTGATTTTGCTGGTTTCTGTCACTTATCTTCATTAGAAATGTTTTTCAGGTTCAGCAATACCTGTTTTGAAACTGTCCAGTATATGTCCCTGTCTGAGAAATTGGAAAAAATTCTATAATTATAATAATTATTTACTGGCCTAAATTCTGTTGCTTAATTATACCTGTGGATGACTAACAGCATAACTCATAGTGGCATCTTGCTTTAGCTAACATCCTTACTTGGATTTTCAGGTGCATGCCAGTCCAGTAAGTTGGTGTGTACTGTACTGTGTTTCCCCGAAAATAAGACAGGGTCTTATATTAATCTTTGCTCCAAAAAACACATTAGGGCTTATTTTCAGGGGATGTTTTATTTTAAAATCATGTAATTCTGGTTGCTGTTGGGGCTTGTTTTGAGTGGATATTTTATTTTTTTCATATACAACAATCTACATTTATTCAAATACAGTCATGTCATCTTCTTCTGGTTGTTGCACAATGGTGGAGGGCGGGGTTTCACTTAACTGGGGCTTATTTTGGGGGTAGGGCTTATATTACAAGCATCCTGAAAAATCATATTAGGGCTTATATTCAGGTTAGGTCTTATTTTTAGGGAAACAATGTATTTCAAAATGTTTTTTTCCTAAATGCTCTCCCAGGTGTATATTGTTATGCATCTTAATATGGACCTTTTGAAATAGATAAATGGTCAGATAGCCTTGCATACATGAGTGTAGAGCCAGCATGTCTAAATCCTACTGAAGTTCCAAGACTTAAGAAGTCTACCTCTGTACAGGATTACAGAATCATATAGAACATTTTAAGCATCCTGATATAGACTTTTAGACCAGCATCTTCCACAATAACATATTTATTATAAATATTTCAAAAGGCACTTACCTGCTTTGAGGAACTATAATTAATTAATGTCTTAATGCCCATTAGTAAAAGCTAAAAACTGTTTGCATGTTATGCGCATTGTCACTTAGGGGTGTACTCAGATTTACTCAAATTCCACACTCTACCCACTCTCTCACTCCTACTCTGACTGACCATCTCTCTCAGGCTCCACCTCTCAGCAACATGAATATGCATGAACGATTAACATAACAAAACATGAACCATTGACATCATAAAGGGGAATGCTACAATGTTCCTTCCAGTTTATGGCATGCTCAGTTGCATGATGAATCTCAGAATCACTGGAAGACCAGGCATGTGATGGGGAGCTTTCAGAACAAAAGAAACACTAACACTATTGTCCTTCTGCTCTGTGAGTGCTGAATAGGATACTGGCCTAAATAATCTCCTGTTCTGTGGTAAAACAAGATTGACATAATAGCTTCTTACAAAGATTTCATTGTTTCTTTCTCATTGTCCACAGGGTAAGTGGACAACTGGAAAACTGAACTGCCCGTTCTGTGGGGCCCATCTTGGTGGCTTCAACTTTGTTAATAACAGAAAAAGCTCTTGTGGCCAGTTTACAAATATCCATCTCTGCAAGAGGCAAACTGACTACCAGGCAACTAGTTCAGTTTTATCACCAATATCACAGCTAAAGTACTTGTCGCTGTGCAGAGTTCATTCTGATTTTAACAAGGAAAGACAGCAGAGTGTGACAGGTGAGACTTTGGAACCTAGAAATCAAAGACATTTATACACGGCCAAAAATAACGATGGCTTTGGAAGATTAATGGAGGCACTGTGCCTAGAGGTGAGATCAACCAACTTTGAGATGAATAGTGGAAAATTACACTTTAAAGTGTCTAACCCAAAAACAAGTCTTTCAGCTTCGTTGGTTGTGAATGACAGATACATTGTAAAAGCTTTTCACAGAAAATCGCAGAGTTTGGACTTCAACTTCAGAGAGAGGTTTGTCTTGCTGCCTACTTTATATAGAGCTTCGACAATCAAGAGACCTGTTTTCTCCCGGCAACATGAAATGCAGCCTTATAATACAAAGACTCGCTTACAATTAAACCCCAGCAACACAGAGAATTATTTTCACTGCCCACTTAAATCAGATGCTGGTGGGCTTCCAAAGACTTTTTCAGTTACTTCCTGCAGGGTATTAGCACAAGACAAGGTTGAATTTAATCCTGGCTTAGCAGCTTCCGAAAACTGTCTCGAGAGTGCCACTGCTGACCAGCAGCTATTCCTATTTTCACCAGAGGGGACTGCAGAAGAATCTAATTTACACCAGCACAGCACGCCTCTTGGTCTTCATCATTCCATGGCAACTGTTGATCAAAAGCTGAGCAAGAGAAAAAGAAAACAGTTGAACAGTTTGAGGAAAAAACAAAGGTGGCAGGAGCAGTGGCTGCAAAAGCAGGTATGTATTAATGTAAATGTAGTCTTAGAAGAAATTTGGTGTGATTGACACGGGGAATTGTGATATGTTGGATTAAATTAACAGTAATTTCTGAAAATGCCCTCAGAGCTTTTAAAAATAAGGGTGAGCAATAGTATTTTAGAGTTGCTTGTCATTTTCCCTACAGTCAGCTTCCTTTTTTTCTGTGTTGCAGACATATCTAAGGTAGCTTGGCAGCTGTAATCATGATATATCAATTTAAACATTACAACAAGCCATAGTTAATTTGGATAATGGCTTTCAAGACACCCACCCACAGTGTCTCCCCTCACTCCATGAAGAAATGTCACCTATAGTCTATGCTTACCTACCTGATTGCTTATCAAGGACAGGGATATCGACAACAGTGTTGCAAACTGAGGCATGGGTGGGAAAAGATGGGATAGCAGTGACAGGGCCCTTTGGCATGCAGGGAGGTGTAACAGTTTACCATTCCTGGCACCCCACAGCCTAGGGCAGTGACGGCGAACCTTTTTGGGCCTGAGTGCCCAAACTCGAGAGGGGGGCGACCCAGCGGGTGGCGGAACTGGAAGTGGCGGCGGAAGGGAGAATCTCAAGCATGGAGGTGCCTCGAGGCTCCACTCCAGATCCATTGCCAGCTGCTCCGGATCCTGGCCTGCTGCCTGTCGAAACGCCAGCACCACAGCTACAGCCACCTGTGCAGGTTGGGCTGCGGGGGGGAGTAGTGATCCGACGACTGGGGGGGGAGTAGTGATCCGGCGACTTACGGCTTGTGTGCCAGCAGAAAGGGCTCTGTGTGCCGTAGGTTCGCCATTGCTGGCCTAGGGTGACCACCTCACTGAACCTAATGGTCGGTGGCTATACAAACCATGACTTGTTGATCTTTACTACCTAATATGTGCCAAGCCATATTTAGGTGTTCTTACTATGGTTTGTTGTACTGTCTGGATAAAATTATTGGCTGGAGGAATAACATCTCTGTAACCCTTTTGTAGTATGAAACAATGCTAGTAGAGAAGGAATAATGTTTTTTATGTTATAAGATCTTACAGCCTTGAAGTTTGTACTTCTATGAGCAAACATACTATGTGCTAAAGGACAACTGTTGTTTGCTTAAAACCAGTTCTATATACATTTAAGTCATAGCCTACCCCCCCCATCCCACATTATTTTCGGTCATGGGCATTCTTCACCAAGAGACTTCTCTGAAAATCTAAATTGATAATGAAATCTTCAGTAAATCAGATGTCCACTTAAAAGACAAACCCTGTTCCTGTAGTGCACTTTTTATATCTAGTGCACTACAGGATACATTTCTATGCTATATGGAGTAAAACACTGTTTATTCTATACCACAGCTTTGTATTTGCTTGACAGCCAGCAGTGTAGTACTGTGTAGTATCATGGGACGTGGTGATACACAGACATAGCACCTAGGTTGACTGTTTATTTGGAGGTACAATACTGTGCAGAATGTTAAAACACTTTCCTATGAAATAAAGCCAGTTATCCCTAGAGATAATTTCATGTACAGAATATGACTGAGGCAATCCATGGAAACAGTCCTAATTTCCTAGAAGTTCATCTCGAAATCACAGCTCATCAAAATGTGTTTCCTAATCTTGGGTCAGTTCAGAAAATGCATTCAGATACAATATGTCTTTAAATCAGACGCATGCTGTCCTACACCATTCTGGGAAAATAATATGGCATTCCCCTAACTGCTAGTGCTTTTGAGAAGCTTTGTACTACTTAAAGCAAGTGTGGCCACATATGTTCTGTCAGGGCTACATTTCATCTTAAGAAAATGAAACAAGGCAGTGTGTAAAGCAGTTTGAAGTGTCACAGACCATACTCTGTGATTGAGTCTCATGTGAATTTTCCTACCAGCTTTTTTTAATGCAGCATTTGATACTTCCTAGCCATTTGGGTAAGTCCTTCTCTTCCTAAAATATGGAACACATATTTATTTGTACAAGAACAACAACTTCCTATTATTCCAGTGATACGTGTGTCTTCCATATATTGGCTCCACTATGTCATTGAGAATTTCGATAATTTATTTTAGAATTGGCTCATGTACAGTGTGCTTCTGTTGCAGCTTCCTGCTTCCTCTAGTCAGCTTGGTTTTTTACCTTTTTGCAAAGCTATGCAAATAAGTAATCATATGCCTTAAAACAACAGTTTTTCAGCAGATAGTACAAACAGTAATTGGATCAACATTCCTTTCAGCTTCTCTTTATTAATTCCCATTAACATTCATTCTTAAATCTTTCTGACTTGATAAAGGTTACATGCTTTTCCTCCTTGGACTGCAAGCAATAGGTTTATAAAAACACATTTCCATGTTTTACATTAATGTGCAAATTAAATACTGGGCATTAAAACACTCAACAGGTAGGTGTATTACAGTACCTTGATATTGCATTAACAGAAAATACACCTGTACATTTTGTTTGCTTTTCCAAAGCACTAAAGTCCAGCTTCTATGCTACAGTTATGCTTTATAAACCACTTGTAGAAGGGGACTCCTCAGTAAGAATATAATACTGTACAGAAGTGTAATTTTTTAACAGCAGGGGGCACCAGATTTCCTCTAGCTACAAAACAATGCAATACGGCAAACTTTTTATGAAGGAAAGTAGTATATTATAGTATGGTGTTTTACGTTCATAGGATGTTTTACAGATTAAAATAGTAACCCTCTGTATATCTGAAGATTGCAGGTTTTGAACACAATAGCGGTACACTTTGCTATTGCTGCAGCTCAGAGTCTGCCAACATTTCTATAAGTTGTCTCTTGTGGCTGATTCTATTATATATCCATATTGAAAATTGCTTTTGTGAAAATCTTGTGATAAATGGAAGCAATAACTCTGTCTAGGAACTGCTTTTCTGCCTCCTTAATATTTGTACCATTTGAGTTTAAAATATTTCTGGTAAAAAGAAGATTATTAGGATTTAGAAGACTGTTACTGAAAAAAATAACTAAATGATGTAAATGATACTTGAGTTCTTTGTCATGTGACACTACATCGCTTCATAATCAAATCTGTGCTGTTTACATCTTCTTGGCTTTTAAAATATGAATACAGCCAATTGAATATGTGTCATCTCCTGTGATAACATTGGTGTTACAGTGCAAAGAGCACTTTTAATCTTTTACAAAATTGTAGAGGTATTTCCTTCCCAAGTGCTTAAAATGGAGTGGTTATGACACCCCACAAGGAGTATTAGAGTTCATTGAATGGGGAAGGGGTATAAGTTCAGTTTAACCTATGACCTAATTATAGAATAAATGAGTTGAAAGGGGCCTAGAAGGCCATCAAGTCCAACTCCTTGCTTAGCATCTCATCATGCCCTGTTCCCCTGAAAATAAGGCCTAACCTGAAAATAAGCCCTAGTATGATTTTTAAGGATGCTCGTAATATAAGCCCTACCCCAAAAATAAGCCCCAGTGAATTAAAACCCTGCCCTCCACCATTGTGCAGCAGCCAGAAGATGGCATGACTGTATTTGAATAAATATAGATTGTTCTACATGGAAAAAAATCCCCTGAAAGTAAGCCCTAATGCATTTTTTGAGCAAAAATTAATATAAGACCCTGTCTTATTTTCGGGAATATACGGTAGTTTCTTCCCTCCCCCCAAGCAATATTGACTTTTCCAGTAAATTTTGCTCAGCTCTTACAAATTAATGATTATGGCATTCTTTATTGAGACAACCTGCCTCATATTAGGTGTTCCTTTCTTCCCAATGCCCTCCCCCATACTATATTTTAAGTTGGATTGTTGTGCTCTGTTGCTTTAAAATGTGTCTTTAGTATTAATTTTATTCACAGTTTTAATGTGATACTTGTTTTGTTGCTGCTTAGTCGTTAAGTCGTGCCTGACTGTTTGGACCAGAGCAGATACTTGTTTAACTCCTTTTAAATATTTGTATATTTACTGTTTTTAGCTTCTAAATATTGCCCTTTTAATGTTGTTAGCTGCCTTGGGTCCTTTTAAGGAGAAAGGCAGGGTAAGAATATTTTAAATAAATAAATAAGTGAATAAGTGAATAAATAAGTAAATAAGTGAAAGATATGATAGGTTCAGTTTACTTACTTTTGCTCTAGTGAACAGGCTTGATTCGTTTGAGTGTCCACTTTTCTGCCTATCTGGATATCTGTGGAATCAGTAAGGCTCTCCTCCAAAACAACATTTCAAATGAATTGATTTTTGTTCCTATTTTTCTCCACTGTCTTTCTTTCAGATAGTATGGGTAATTTTACCTTGATTTCCAGTGACAATCTTTACTGACTCCAACCTCTCCCTTTTTTATTTCAAAAGCTGAGGGTACATCTTTTGGAAAACATGTGCACAATATGTTTGTAGAGGGTTTTGTTTGGGTTTTTTTGTTTTTTGTTTTTTTGTTTTTCGTTTTTGTCAGATATAGCTTTTCTTCCTCAGGTTGCCTACCCCATGGAAAAAGTTTGGAAACTGGAACATAGCTTGCTAGTTTGCATTCTGCAAAGCAGGCATGGAAACATTAGTTTAGCGGAGAGGTTACAGAATGCTATGTAAAACATGGCACCCTTTTTCCTCCTGGCAGTTCAGGCACAGTACTGTGTAGCAATATCGAGCTGTTTCCTGGTATTTTGAGTCATGGATACAGAAGCATAATATCCTACATTAATAGTCTTTTGAAGAATTGAATTTGTAGATTAGACCTGGGGTAGATTTAATAATCAATTTTAAACTTAGTTCCACATGTGTATTTATACTACAATCAATTCTATACTGTATGTGTACTCTGAAATAAGTCACATGGAGCTCATTGGAGCTGGCTGTCAAGCAGGTGGGTGTAACACTCGAGTCTGAGTTAAGTAGATACCAGACTTCAGTAAGTATAAGTTGTCCTCCCACCTCACTTTAAAGGACAGAACTTTTATGTTGTTGAACATTTGTGAAACTGAGCTATAAAAAGGATGAAGACCATCTGAAACACTGCAGTCAGTT